ATTTGACCCAAATACTCTTTGCTTCTCTGTGGCATGGATCATAATTCTATCACAGTGAGCTGTTTCCTTTCTCAACCACAGAGATGTACAATCCAGGCATTCTGAATACGCATAAACTCTGTTATTTCCTGTATAAACTGAAACTTGAGCTTGAATTATTTTCATTCCTTTCCCCTCTTTTTTGATTATCAATTTGAGGAATATCTCCTCCAACCCCACATTTAACAGGTGGTGTGAGTGTCCTCGGTCGTATCTGACTCTTTGCGACCCCATGGACTGTAGCCTGCCAGGCTCCTCTGTCCATGGGATTCTCCAGGCAAGAGTACCGGACTGGGTTGCCATTTCCTTCTCCAGGGATCTTCCGGATCTAGGAGTCAAACCCACATCTCCTGCTTTGGCAGGCAGGTTCTTTACCGCTGAGTCAGCGGGGAAGCCTGATCCATCTCTCTTACTTCTTAGAAAGAGGACCACAAAGTTCCCCAAACATTTCTTTACAGTTGTTCCAGCTGACTTTTGGAATGTTTCTGGTAGGACAGTGAAGATCTAAAGATCTGATAGTTCGGGGGGAAGAGCTTCATGATAAAAGTACATCCCTGCAAGTATAAGTTCTAGTAATATTCTGACCATTTCATTGAAGAAATACCATTCCAAGACGTAAATGTTTATTGAGTATCCATAAGAATTTCATCATATTTCAAAGCTCTATGGCTTAAAAAAATGCACTAGAAATGTTTGGTGAGAGATATTTTTCTGAATTTTTTTTTGTGGAATACATTCTGACATTAAATGAATCATCTAATGTAATTCTAGAGAGAATTTAACTGATGCTTATAGTATGGATTAGCTGAAGTTACGTGAAGTCTATTACAGATGCAGATTTTGCTTTAGACAACATTAATAAGAGATTAAAAGCAATAAGAGTCTTACCAATTCCTCCAGTATATAAATGAAAAGAAATTAGCAGAAGACTACCTCAAAATAAGAAAATTCAACTGAAGTGAGATATCGGATAGAATATTTTTAGAATCACAGATATAGTAATTAAAATAATTCTTAGTTTAGAATATTTTAAAATTTGATCATTGTAAGACAGAACATAGATATGGAGATATTACTGTTTGGGTCAGACAGAATTGAATTATGCTGCAGCAGCAGCATTCCTGTTTTAATACTCTGAAATGATATTTGAACAAATGGCTAATTTAGGTGTTGTAAAAGTGAAGATAAAATTCATAACTACTATGTAATAGACATATAAAAACTATAAAGTTACTCCATATCTATCTTGCTTACTGCACAGTTAATGTAAAAAATACATCTCTAAATACAGTTTGAGAATATGTACTATAAAACTTATTTAGCATAAGAAAATTTTGAAAATCAGAATTTATAAAACAAGAAAAAAATGATATTATTGTAATAATATCTATGATTGTATTTGAGAATAATTTTGTGCTCAATGAAATACACCTCAAGCATATTATAACCATCTTTTCCTATTTAAAACATGAATTGCTATCAACATACCAAAAGTAGGTTAAAAAGTAATTTTTTCTTAAAAAATGTTATTGATACTAACAACAGACATACATTTTTAGGTTAATTTTTCATTTGTAGGACTAAATTTTGCAGTGATATTTAACCAAGGTCTTTTTTGACAGTGTGATTCATTTTTACCATGGTTGAGCAATCTTTCCCTCCAAAGTACAATTTAATGTTTCTTTTTTTTTTAAAGTAAGTTTTCAACCCATGATTGTAGCTCCATTACACTTCACTTAACCAGTAGGCCCTAGATTTTCCCAATATAATGTGTTATGATTTTGTTGAGTGAAAAATGAAGACTTGGGCACCCTTCCTCTTATGATGAAAGCAGAAATTCTTTCTGCATTTTTCTTTTTCATCCCTAACCACAACATGACAGCAGTTATTTTATTTTATTAAATATTTATCAAATATTTTGACAATTATCAATTATTTATCACATATTTTATTATTTGATTCATTGACTTGTTTGCTCATCTATATCATCAAATCTAGCTGTTGGTTTGCATTGCCTATTGCTGCCCCCTTCTTCACTTCTGCAGCCACTAATCAAAGCTATTACTGGGGTGAGATATCTTCACCTTCAGAAACTTGTCCTCTTCAGTTCTACACCACATGCGATCATTAGCACAATGTTCTTTTCACATTGTCATAATGCTTAGCACAATGTTCTTTACACGTTTTTCTCCTCTCTTTAAGAACAGTAACTAGCTTTCTCTTTCCTATTCTATTAAGTGTAAATCTTTTATCCTAAGAGTTCATACTCTCCCTTCATCTGACCCTTTTCTTTAGCAATCCCATTTCTTCCTCCTCTTTGGCCCAGTTGCTCTGCTACTTCCAAGCCATTGGGTTGTTCTCAGCACACAGGATTGGTTTCTAACTGCTTCCCTATTTGAGCAGACATCATGCCCTGAATCTTGGGAGCCCACTGCTTTCTCTGAGACAGTCCATTCCATCTTGTGATAAGTCAGTCAGAGGGGTTTTCTTTTTATTGACCTAAACCACCTATTACATATTACGTATGATTTTTGCTTTTATCTTTATGTGTCAGTCTAATTGTGTCTTTTCTCAGTTGTTGCTGTGTGTGTGTTATGTCTATAGTGGCGCTTTTTATGAGCTCTCTGTGTCTGGCACTCCAGTGCTTCCATACCCTGATCTGCCTCCCCACCACCCCAGAAGCATAGCAGCTTGAGCTCTAACTGTGCATTGTACATGTTTAATATGTGTTTGATGACTAAGCTACCCACTAAATATGGAAGAAATGTCTTCTAAAAATAGAGATAATTCCACATTTAGAAGGTAGCTTAGTGATATGATATACTTAGCTATACTTATCAAAGGATGACAAAATCTCTGTCTTGGAAATGATTCTGTGAATTAAGTAAAAACTCCTGATCATGTGCATACTCACATCCCCCCAGTCTCACACAGCAAAATGCCTGAGCGATACCAATTGTTGAAGAAAAACCATTTTGTATGTTTACGTCTAATCGATTAATTGAGACAGTATTACATATTGTATATCCACACAGATTCAGAATGGCTTGGCTTTCTAAATATATGGTTCACTGTTATTATATTCTGAAGCATTGAACAATTGGCATACTCAGTTCTACATGTGCAATTTCGAACAATGCAGGAAGAATATTGATATTTTTGCCTACATTTAAATGTTAATATGAGAAAATATCTTGGCATTGTTAATACCCAAAAAGGGACAATTATATCTTTCAAATAGCCGATGAAGCCTGACCTTTTATTTGTATCTCTAAATTGCTAACATCTCCAAATGTTCTTCCATTTTAAAGTTTTTCAAAAAATGTGTTTCCACAACAATTTTAATTGAATCTTCTGTGATGCTACTTTAACCATTGTAGTCAACCACAGCATGTAATCAGACTTCAGTCCGAACCTTTCATGCACTAATATGGGAGTAGACACTTTAAAAAATGTCCTGTCAAGTCTGGATTTCCTCTCCTGACCTCTGTCTGCTGCACCTGTGATGCTATAACCAGGGGTCGTAATTGAACGAGAGCAGAGTTTGATTTCCATTTATCCTGCATAATGTAGAAATTCTTGTCCAGGGGCCGCTAGTTAGGGTCATCATCAATAGATGTGTGGTATAAATATAAACACATAGCGATAGGTTTTCATCAAGGCCGTGACCAGTAAACACACTGGTTTATTTGTAGAGTGTCTCCTGAAGGTTGCGAGTGCCCCTCAGAGTCCGTGTGAGACTGAAGCTCTCTCTAGGCACGGTGACATAAGCAGCATGGGTGACGTAAGCAGCCCCAGTGCTGTGGGTAGCCCAGGTGTGGAGGAAGCCTCATTCACAGACCTTATTGCTCTATTGTGCTTCTTCACAGGTCCTGAATTACCAGCAGTGAGTTATTCTTTTTCGGTTATTATTATTACTAGATTTCTTTAAAACTCACTTCTGTGTCTTCTCATTAATCATCTGTGAAATGTTGGAAGGCAAAATGCATGAGGCTCAGAGCTAATTATGCATTCTATTATGCCCTTAGATATCTGGATGAAAGTCATGTTCCAACACACAATCCCTTCCCTAAAACTCATTCCCACAAGTGATGATTTAGTGATCAGTTTACTTTAAAGGTTTGCCTTTGGGGACAATGATTATCCAGGTTTGCTCTTTTGAAAGAATAGACTTTTCTTTCAGGGAATATGTAAATATTTAGAAAAAAGTTTCATTGTGGACTTTGAAATGCTTTTAACACAAAATGTGTTGAAACCTATGATTCAACTGTCCCTGGGGGGAAAGGATACCGTTGTATCTATGCAGAGAATGAGAGGCAAGGTGCCCAGAATTCTCAAATTCCTTTGATTAAATATAGTAACCAACTAGTTGTGGAAGCGGGGAGGATGAGTGCAAATTGTAGCTTTGTTTTTCAACTCCAAAGTTAGTACTTGTGAACAATAAGAGAATGATAAAATGACAAAATACCTAAGTATGATGATTACTGATGTTTTCCCTGACCATCTTTGTTTTTTACCATTCACAGCTAAGCATGTTACATATAACTGGTGAGGAATGCAAACCTTAGTCTCATATATTTGTCTTTCAATTTGATCTCTTGATATCCTTCTTACTCTGCAGTTTTGAAAAACATCAGTTTTTAGTAATAAAATCCATGACTTGTACATATAGGTTATACATTAGATTACAATAAAGAAATATTTTCCCATATTTTCTAACAGCAGAGTGCAGTATTTTGCAAGGAAAGGTGTCTTTGTGATTTAGAGTATATTCATTTCTGTTAGACTGTGCTTTTTCTGAGCCCTTATAGTTCAATTAGAATGTGTGCAAAAATACTTGTGCTATAAACTCTATAAGAATTTTTTCTAAAAATTAAGTCAGAAGTGCAATGTCAGTTGAATTTTGGATTTAGTGAGAACAAAAGCAAGGTGGATTTCCGGTGGGGAGGGACTGTCTCCTTCTAGATGTCAGTGTCCACCCCAGAGCCACATTTGCGGCAGAAGATTTCCTTGTTGTGAGTCAGGAAGCCTTCCCCCACCAAGGAGACCGAACACTTCCCACAGTTAAAGCATTCACTGTGCCACTGGCGGTCTTGAAAGCAGATAAACTTGGCACCTCTGAGACCTGTAAAGCAATTGGAGAAAAAGAGTAATCTATTCTTTCAACAAATAGATGGAGCATTCTATCAGGTACACTTCTGGGAGCTGGAGATAAAACAGTGAGTAAGACCACATCAAGAAAGTAGGCAAGAAATGATGCCACCCCCAATGGCCTGTGTCCATTCAGGAATGCCACCCACAGGTTCTTCCTTTGAGATCCAGCCAGATAGCCAGTCAATTTTGTCCCATAATCTACATAAGTAGGTTGAATTTGGGCATACAAAGCACATATTTTTGGAGACAGTTCCTGATTGCCTAAGACATAAGGCTTCCCTTGTGGCTCAGAATCTGCCTGCAATGCAGGAGACCTGGGTTTGATCCCTGGGTTGGGAAGATCCCTCTGAAAGGCTACCCACTCCAGCATTCTCGCCTGGAGAATTCCATGGATTGTATTAGTCCATGGGGTGGCAAAGTCGTACACGGCTGAGCAATTTCCAAAAGATATAAGGAAATAAAGGGTAGTGTAATGAGAAGAAGGAATGTTTTGAAGTCAGACTTCAAAGTAAGTTACTTATCTTACTTATCTAAGTAAGTTACTTGGTTACTTGCTTATCTAAGTAAGTTACTTACTTATTTAAGTAAGAATATTTTTTCCTTCCTCGTGACCCTGTTTACATTGAAGCAAAGTTAAGGTAAAATAAATGAATACTTCCCAGCCTGGTATCTGATATTTTAATGACTTTTAGTTCTCATCTCTCTTTTCCCGTGTTTAATTTTATTGAAGATAAAGTCCCACGGTTATATTGTGGCTTGAAACACAATTTCCAAAAGCCTCCAATAGAGAATTTCATGCGAACTGTCCTTAGCTAGCCTCATGTGATAACCTTGTTACCTTGCCCAGAGTTGACTGCAGTGTAGGCTTGCAACAAAGATGTGTGAGTCTGATTCCTGTGGCCACTGAAGCCATGTTACCCAATGACATCAGCTCCCCCATTTCAACTTGGGCCTTACTTGAGCCATAGGATTTCTATTAATCAGAAAAGGTATGAGAATTTGAGTCTTTGATGAGACTCTCTCTCTCTACCCAAATATGAATCCAGGGTACAGTTCAAGGAACTGATTTTGAGGAGCTGTAAAAAAGGAGAAAAGGTCTAAGGTCTGGTAAGGGTTTGGGATGCCCTAGACTTGAATCTTCATTTGCCAGGTTTTCTCCAAGTGATCTTAGTGCTATGAAATTCCTGTGGTTTGCTTATCACACTATTTTAGTGAGGCTAAAATAGTTCATGTGCTGATTCACATATAATTTCCAACTATTCCATTTGGGATGGTAAAGCAAAAAAGGTGAATAAATATTTTATTTCAGGTAAATTCTCCTTAGATATGATAATGAACTTTTGTTTCCTTCCTGGAAATGTTTTTTGATGTCTTCACATATAATTTACTAGTTCAGGGATACATTTACATTAAATTCTTGTACTTTCCTTGATTAAATTATAGCTTATTTATGATGCCATCACTACTTTCTAATGAGAGTAAATCAATAATGTACCAATTAATCTCCTTAATATTATTCAAGATGTTAATAAGCTGATTGCAAGAATAATGTTCTATATATACATAAACCACCTCTGTTCGTGAATTTAATTATTACACATCTAGCATTTTGATGCACATGAAATTTTCTTGATTTTATTATTAAGCTTTGTACAGGGGGAAAATGTAAAAATAATTCTTCTAGAATTTTACAAAAAAGAATAAAAAGGAAGCATTTGGTAGCAGGAATATAAGAAAGTCTTGACTTAACATGTGAGATGGTTATAAATTGTTTCCATTTTGGATGTGTTTACTCCCTCAGATCTTAGGGGTCATTTTCAATAAGAAAGTCAACCAGGAAACAGGACTCTGACACTGTTTTATCTGGTTTCATTTATTCCTGAAAATTCAGTAAAATAAGAGCTGGCCTTTGTTGAGCTCCTAAAGATGAATCAGTCACTATTCCAAGCCCTTTACTTCATACAGCTCTCACCTCACTCCATGGGGTAGTTATTACCATCAACCCGACTTTGCAGACAGTAATTGTCAAACAGAGAGGTTAGCCTCTTGGCCAAATCACCCAGCTGCTAAGTGGCAGATCTGGGATTCAATCCTGGGCCATCTGTTTCAGAGTTTGTGCTTCCAACTTCACCAAATTAACTCTGAATTTTCTTTCTTAAAGAACATAAGCAGAAATATTAGCATTCCTGTCTGAAGAAGTCAACATTTGAAACTCACTTTACTGAAAATAAACAGAAATAGAAAACAGCAAAGATGTGATCTTATTTAATTCCTCATTTTGCGAAGAAGGCAAATGAGGGCCTTGGAGGTGAGTTGCATACCTATAGTCACACATTAATCAGGGGCAGAGACAAGGCCACGGTCTTTTACTCCCTAGATCAGTGCTGTTCCCGCTAGGTCAAACTGCTTCATTATCCCCTTAGAAAGGTAAATCCTATCTTAGAGGAGGAGAAAAAAATTGTAGTTACATCTTGAGTTTGTTCCTTATAGATCTAGTTAATTTAAAATGATGTTTTAAAAACAATTCTAACATAGTTTCTGGGGATGACATATTGTTTGCCTGAATGTACAATTTTCAGAAGATAAATGTATGGTATTAATAGTATAGTTCCCTGTGGTGCATTAGTTCAGATAGCTCAACTCTAAAGAAGCACTATTACAGAGAATATATATATATGTGTGTGTATATATATTTTAAAGTGTTAGTCGCTCAGTCATGTCTGACTCTATGACCCCATGGATTGTATGATCCCATGCCAGGCTCCTCTGTCCATGGGATTCTCTAGGCGAGAATACTGGAGTGGGCTGCCATGCCCTTCTGCAGGGGATCTTCCTGACCCAGGGATAGACCCTAGGTCTCTCACATTGCAGGCAGATTGTTTACCATTTGAGTTACCTGGGAAGCCCATATATATTTAAAAATCAGATCAAGACATACTAAAGTGAGTTGGAAGTTTTTGCAGGCATTTAGTTTCTGGTGTGTCTCAATCACAGAGCCAAAAGAAGATTAAGATAATGATCAACAGACTGATTATTCTAAATATATATCCTGCATTTGGATTACTTTTGGGACAAATCTTTGGTTCCTGATCATCCCTCTGTTTCATGTGGAAAATGTAGTTTTTCTGTCTGATTTTTAAAAAGTTGGGTTCAGTAATTGACCTGCAGCTGTCCATCAGAAAAATCACTTAGACACATGCGTCTGTGGTGATGCATCAGAATGGAAACTCATCAAGTTCAAAGTTTGAATAGGCTCTTTAAGATCCATACTAGCCATCTGAGTCCCTGGAAAGTTTTCAAACATTTTAAAGTTGTTGAAATCTCTCATTTCTTCATGGAAATCCACCTCCAACCCACCCCCACCCCGCCTTTTTCTGGCCAATTCAAGAAAAGTGTCATAGAATAAATTGTCTGAGTCCATCAAGCTGTGATTGCATATTCTACTAAGTTTTTGGAGCTCCAGTTACTGTTACATTTTTGGAAGTTTCATTTCTAACTAGCACCAGTAGAGAGGCTTATCACCCTTGGCTGCAGGAGTTGCCAGATATGCAGAAGCAGGAGAGCAGAGTGATTAACAGCCCAAGCTTTGGAGCCCTATGTTCTAAAATTGCCAGCGGACGTCCCTGAAAGGAATGCAGAGGTGACATAGCTGAATGACTGTGGGGGGAACAAAGAGGGCACGCCCTACACAGTGGGCCGGCCACTCGACAGTGACCTGGCCGGGAGTGTGAGCGCAGTGTGCTCACCCCGGGCAGGCTCTTCGTTTACTTTTTGGCTGAAGAGAGAGATTTTACGTTGTTTCCAAGCTTATGCAGGCCAAACAAAACATGCTTGCTGGCCAGATGTAGCCCATGGGCCAGTGTGAGATTCTAAAAAGCATGGTGCCTTGTATGGAGAAACAAGACCATGCTCTGCTTATCTAGGAAGCTTCCTCCCTTGCAAGAAAGTGAAAGCCTATCAAGCTGGGCTTGCAGCAAAACTCTTTACTTGAGGATAAATAAATATTCAATTTTACTTGTGATATATCTGAAGATAGAGGAGGAAAAAAGGGAGAAAATAATCTGTAATAATCCTATGTTACATAAACTGAGCCAGAAGTGAAATATGATCTAAGAGTACTAGGAATGGAGAACAGAAACACAGATCTGCCATGTTATTTGGTGACCATACCTGAAAGAATAGCTATTGGAATGGAATACTACTCAGCCATAAAAGGGAACTTATTTGAGTCGGTTCTAATGCGGTGGATGAACCTAGAGTCTGTTATACAGAGTGAAGTAAGTCAGAAAGAAAAAAGCAAATATCATATATTAATGCATGTGTATGGAATCTAGAAAGTGGTACTGATGAAATTATTTGCAGGGCAGCAATGAAGGCACAGATGCAGAGAACAGTCTTACGGATTCAGGAGTGGAGGAAGGAGGGAGAGAAGGGACATATGGGGAGAATGACATGGAGATGTACATTACCGTATGTAAAATAGATAGCCAGTGGGAATTTGCTCTATGAGTCGGGGAACTCAGATCGGGGCTCAATAACAGCCTAGAGGGATGGGATGGGGCTGGAGGTGGGAGGGAGCTTCACGAGGGAGGGGATGTAGGTATTCCTATGTCTGACTCGTGTTGATGTTTAGAAGAAACCAACACTATACTATAAAGCAATTATCCTTCAACTGAAAATAAATACATTTTTAACAAGGAGAGAAAAAAAGAAGAGCTATTGTGTTTCTCAGGGATGAGAGGGTCAGTTCTCTTATGACAGGATTAGCATTTCAGAAGTAACATCTGAGGAAGATACAATGTGCTTTTTACCTTGAAAACTCATTTAGCACAGATAGATTTACCATTTATGTTGTTTTCAAATCATATCACACACATTTTGTTCAACAGAATGCTATCTGTTTTATCTATTCATAATTAAAACTTACTGTAAGGGAAGAGAATGAAAGAGAATAATACATTTGCTAGAATCATCTTAAATTGAGGTTTAATTAATTCCTCACCTATGCTATTGCAATTATTATAACTTCTGATTTTTGCACAGTACTTGTATTTAATTGAGACTTTTTCTATTTTAAGGCCCCTTCACTCTTGGTTAGAATCGAGCATTTTGATTTATAAGTATCCCTTTTCTCCCACTCACTTTCTTCAAGCTCTACCTCAGCTCAGGCCTTCTTGTGAAAATCTTCTTTGTTCATCTTACTCTCCTTTCCTGGACGATTACTTTACTTGAGTCAGTACCATGAAGTTTAGTATTAACGACCCTCGACAGAGCCTAGCTGCCTTAATTATACGCTATACTTACCTTGAGGGTTCTGTGTAATATTCATATTGATATATAGGTACTCATGTTTGTTTCAAAAGGAAACAAAGGAACGATCTTCTTTTTTTAAATGACATTTCCTAAATCAACCGTATAGCATTTTCAGAACCATACTTTTTCATGCTAGGACTATGTTAAACTTACCAGTAATAGGCTTGGTGCAAGAGGCACACTTTTTGGCGTACAGATGGTTGTAGCAGTCCACACAGAATGGGTAGTCATCCCTGGACATGAACTCTTCCTCACAGAGCTCTTTCCTACAGCCGCTGCACAGAAAACACTCCTTATGCCACGGCTGGTCGTGGAACGTTATCCCACCTGAAGTTATCACCTGGCAAATGATCACAAAAACGGCCATGACCCTGGAATGTCTTTTGTGATTCTCTTCTTTGTCCACAAGTGGTACTTCGAGCTACCCTATCACCTTGTGTCAGAGGGTGTCTTTTTCCTGTGATTTTTTGGAACCAAAGTAAAACAAAAGGCTATCTCGATCAAATAGAACTGATGAGAATTATCCTAATTTTTCTCCTACAGTGGCATAGGAAAGAAGCAGGGTCATGATGAGCCCAGGAAGATGAAAAAGGTATAGGCCCTTTATTTCTTTGCTCATCTTCCTCTTTCTTGTTGGTCTTCAAAGATCTGCCATTAGACTTAAGACACTTTCTATGCTATGTTCTTATGTTCATATGTAACTTCTAAGAATCCTAAAAAAAAGCGGATTTTTCCTGAATGCTTTATGCAGCAGTAGCATCCCTGAAAGGATTTGCTCAACACCATTCCCGGGTGGTGCTAGTGGTAAAGAACCCATGTGCCAGTGCAGGAGCTCCAGGAGACTCAGGTTCAGTCCCTGAGTTGAGAAGAGCCCCTGGAGGAAGAAATGGTAACCCACTCGAGTACGCTTGCCTGGAGAATCCCATGGACAGAGGAGCCTGGTGGGCTACAGTGCATGGGGTTGCAAAGAGTCGGACACAACTGAAGGGACTTGCATGGCATGCATCTTCTGCTAATAATGGCTAATATTTCCAAGCTGTTGTTTCAGTCTTCAGTCGTGCGCTTAACCTGTTCTTAACATTCTCAACATCCTGACACAGTATCTTCCCTCTTTAGAGATGAATCACTCCAGAGAGTTAGAGCAGTTAGGTCTCTTGCTCGGGACACAGAGTGAGAATTCAAACCTGCAGTCTGATTCCACAGTCTGTGTGCCCAACAGTGACGGTAGCACTGAGACGAGATTACTTTGCGCTGATAAGCCACTGACAGATCTTTGTTGAATGAATGAAGAAGCACCAAGGGAAAAAATGTTTGGAGAGCAATTCTAGTATTGTGCCTAGCACACACGGGCTGACTGCGGGCATCTGTGAGTGTTCGGCACCAGGATTCAGTCATCGGTGCCGTACATTGACCCTTAACGTGTGATGTGTTAGGGTTTTGCAGAGATGCTTGTTATTCCTCCGTAAAATATTTTCTAACCCAGTTTAATCCATGGATTCTACTTTTTAAAAGACCGAGATATCTCTATTTAAAAATCAGATGGAAAAATATTAGACAACTTGTGTAGCAGTTTTTAAGTCCTAGCATCTTTCAAATCCATGGCTATTGAGCTCTTGGGGTGGCTGGGTAACCTGGCAAGTGTCATAGAAATGTCTTCCAATGACTGAAGCAAAGTGATATCTGAGATGGTGCCATAGTCTTTGTATGCAAATTAACTAGGTAAAGAAAAAGTCTATTCTAAGCTGTTCTATTGTGACAAATTAAATAGCTGTCTCTGCTCCAGACTTTTGAAAAGATTACCCCAAAGATATTTAAAACTTTTCCAATGACTACCTTAATAATTAAAGATATTTGATAGAAAGTTATTTTTTGTAAATGAGAAAAATATATATACTATTCTAAATAAGTAAATGGGAAACATAATGGTGTGTGTGAACTAAAGCAATTTAAAATACCCCCTACTGACTTCAAATGCCTTACAACAGGCACAGCAGAATTCAGGATTCTTTTGATTTGTTTGGTCAAATGATTAGCAGGCAAGGCTTAAAAGATTCAAAACTTGAAAACTGTATTCACAGCAAAATGAAACTTGATGTACACACTAAAGTTTGTTTCATCAGCGAGAAGAAACTCTGGAACATTAAAAATAGCTTGTTTATGATTATATTTCTTTTGAAGAGGCAGACAGGCTAAGATGATGTCTAATATCCAAGCCTGGTTTTTGATACTGATTGATCCCAGGATTTAGAACAAGTTTCTTCTCTGGCAAAGTGGAGGCAACAATGATTTTGCACTCAGTTGATCAATTTTAGAACATGTGAAACTTGTGGAGTTTGAATTTAAAAGACTTGTTTGAGGTTACTTGCTTTCTGGTAGAAAATACATGTTAGTTTCACAAAATAAAATCTATGAAAAAATTCTATGGGCTGGTTGTCAAGTAGTTTTTGCTTATTTTCTTTTGTTTTATATTTGGTATTTGGCTTGGGTTGAAACAAACTGTTTTTCTTCAGCTTGGATCATCTTGATTAGAAACATTTATATCCAGTTTTCCTTAAAGGACTTGCGGTTTTAAAAAATTAAATAGAAAATAATCTGGCATGTTATGATCTGTCTACTACCCAATACAAACATTTCATAAATTTCTGGGGACTTAAAATCATGTCCTAAATATAGGGCAGGCTCCTCTAACCTGGGAAACACCAGGGCTTTGGCCCCAGACAGTGCTCAGCTCTGATATACTGGAGAAGATATTTGAATCTTAAATAGCATTGAAGGAAACTTTACATCGTGTGCCCAGCAAATGATTTTAAGATGACTCCTATAAGTTTCATTTTAGTGTAAGTCCTTAAGAAACACAGCCTAAAAATGGCCAACTTAGTTGTCCCTCAAAACAATCAGGTCAATCTATCCATTTTATTTCCATCATCTTTTTCTAAATGCATTTCATTGACTGATACTTTTGAAAGCTTCACGTTCATCTGTCTCAGTTTCATAGAGTCTGTTTCTTGTAAAGTCATTTTCTAAGTCAGTATTTCTGATAGAGTAATGGAAGTCTCTATGATTGAGATGGTTTTATGTCATGTTACTTTCAGTTATAATTTTCAGCCACCACAATCCTAAAGGAAATCAGTCCTGAATATTCATTGGAAGGACTGATGGTGAAGCTGAAGCTCCAATACTTGGGCCACCTGATATGAACTGACTTATTGGAAAAGACCCTGAAAGATTGAGGTCAGGAAGAGAAGGGAAAGACAGAGGATAAGATGGTTGGATGGCATCACTGACTTGACGGACATGAGTTTGAGCAAGCTCTGGGAGCTGGTGAAGGTCAGGGAAGCCTGGCGTGCTGCGGTCCCAAAGGGTCAGACATGACTGAGTGACTGAACTGAACTTTCATGTAATTTAATAATTGTAACTTAGGAGTTTATCGATGCCTCCTCAAATGCAGTATCAGTATTTTAAATATATGTAGAAACTCACTGTGTGTGTTAATTTGTAGAAAGTGGTAATGACATGCTAGCTGTCCAGATGCAAATATACAAATAGTCTTAAGAGATCTGCTGGAGTAGCCTGTAGATCAAAAGTGTTTAGAAACCACTGTAGTGAATTAGTACATGTTTCCATGATTCAGGCTTTCTGATCACAACTTACAGGGGTGTTTGAAACTTATGATACCTCACAGGTCAAGGATTTATTTGAGAACATCAATATATTAATGGATTACAGACATGTTATCAAGGTGATAGAGATAAGTGACTTTTTCATATAAAAGCTTAGAGGATAAAAAAAAGAATTGTACCAAGTTTACTTGAAAAAGGAAAAAAAGGTTCCAGTAGGAAAAAAGTTTGAATGGGTATCCAAGTCAACAGGCCCCGCGTGAATCTTTGCAACTGGAGGCGAGGGGAACCACTTGAGATGCTTAGCCTTCTTTGTCTAATGAATGTGTTTCCCTAATGATCTTGTCACTCTTGAGTGTCATTCTCTTACCTGTCTACTGCTAGAAATATAAAAGCTTCAAGCCAAGAAGACATTTACATTGCTTGGATATAAAGTGAGGAGTGAAATATCCTGTTTAAATTGGTTCCCTAAGTCACTCTGTGAGACAAATCCATCTCCCTCTGAAATTATATGGATCAAAAATTTTCTAAGAAATATTTGTATTCAAAGAGAGATGTGGGTCCTTCACCAGAATACGTGAAATCTTGCATAAATAGCAGTGAATGGAACTGGAATATCAAATCACTTGAGCTTTTGGAACATTAAATTCATGTTCTGGGTGGCATTTTATGGTGGTAAAAATAGATGGGCTTCCTCACTGTGACAGGTAGTGCTTTTGAACTTGTTGGAATTCAATACTCACCTGAGTGTGCAAAGATGGCTATAATATGATAGCACCAGTTCATTACAAATATATCATGTAGCTAAAAAGCACTGGTTTGGAAGATTTCATAAGCTTATGCTCTATAGATATTTACCTTCTTACAAAAGCTGCAGTAGTGAGCAAACTCCTTCTCAAAACACGGCACGCAGTAATTGCCACTCTCTTTGGAAATCAAAGGTTTCGTTCCTATTGGCTGTCGGCAGTGCTCACACACAAAGCAAGTTTCATGCCAGTAGTTACCCTTAAATTCCATTTTGCGGGAACCTGGACCCCAAAAGGAAGAGTCTATTAGTACAAATCAAGTTTCATTGTTTTCTTTTAAGCAGTAATACATCAAATCACTTAAACTATATGTTAACGTAATAAACTAATCAGCCACATAGAAAAAAAATAGTGTTTGGTTTCCAAAACATTTATCTGAAAAGAGAGGTCAATAGAGTTCAGCCACAATAATGGTGAATCACTCTTTCACTGGAAATTCTTGTGCTGTTTCATAATTTTATGGTGTGAAAGGACTATAAAAGTAGACTCTGAAAGGCTGCACATGGTTTAGATAAATTGGGCCATAATAAGAATTACAAGGATATTAGGAATGTCCATGGCACAGACTCCTGAGATTGATGTTGTGCAGTTATAGTCTCCTAGAAAAATCTTTGAATCTATAATAAGAAAATGAGAGTGAATTGTTCTTATGCTGCTGTCCATAGGTATTGAAGAGGATCAACAAAGAGGATTATTACTTGCCTAAAGGTGTAACTGTTTACATGGATCCTTGTTTTCCCTGAGAGAAAAGAAAGACAACTGACCCTCAGACCAGTGTTTGTTGAGATACAAAATGATGCGTGATTCCATTCTCCTATGATGGGCTGTGCTTTTTGATGTTATTGGTTCTGCCTAGGACAGGGTGTTTAATGCAGTTTTAGCATTATTAATTGGTGTAGATTTTATTTCCTGGTTCAGTTTCTGGTTCAAAATGTTTCTATGAATTATGTTTATGACAATATATAAAAGACAGTACACTTTGCCCATTGGAAACAGAAAGTATAATCTTTTCATTTCTAAAGTACACTAAATGAGATAAAGAGATAGAAAGATGTCTTTCTGAAAAGCAGGGCTTTGTGTAATAGTCCCCTTTATCTGTGGGGGATGCATCCCAAGATCCCCAGTGGATGTGTGACACTGCAGATAATACCAAACCTTGTGTGTGTGTATACCGTGTTTTTTCCCCTATACATACAGACCTATGTTAAAGTTTATAAATTAGGTATTGCAAGAGATTAATAACAATAAAATAGAACAATTATAACAATATACTGTAATAAACATGATGTGAATGTGGTCTCTCTCTCTGAAGATATCTTGCTGTACAAATTTAATGCCTTTTCCATCTTATCTAAGTACTTACATGCACTGTGGCTGTAACTTTTGCAGTTTGAGGCATGACAGCAAAACTAGCATAAATTTCTTTTTCCTTCTTCATGATTTCATGGATGGGGAATTTGTTCTTACATTAGATCTTAGTAACCTCAGCATGCAATTTATTTCCTTATTAAGTCAAGAACTGTCTTTTCATTTAAAGGAAGCACTTTATGGCTTTTTTTCAGCATACCTGAATTGCCAGCATCACTACTGTTGTACTTTGCGGCCATTACTAACTAAAATAAAGGTTTCTTGAACACAAGCGCTATGATACAGCAACAGTCTGATCTGGTAACTGAGATGGCTATTAAGTGACTACTGGCCAGGATGCTCTGGACAAAGAGATGATTCATGTCATGGAACAGGTGCAGAGGGATTTCATCACACTACTCAGAACAGTACACAATGGAAAACTTAAGGAACTCTACTGCTGGTATTTTCTGGTTAATATTTTCAGACTTAACATTTTTGACCTTGGGTAACTACAACCATGAAAAGTGAAACCTTCCAGAATGGGGGTACTGATGCACTACACTCTTCCTGTGCTTGGGTTTAATTGAAAGCATTGTAGCTTCAGTTACAGACCAGAAGGCCTTGAGGTCTTACCAGGCATGATGGTCTTCTTGCAGTGAAAGCACTTGGAAGAGCACTCGTTAGAATAGCATTCCGAGCACAGCAGCCGCTCATCCTTGGCAACAAAAGGCTTTTCCACCAAAGAGTGATTGCATTTGGTGCAGTTAAAGCATCCTTCATGCCAGTGGCGGCCTTTGTAACAAAGATCCTTCGAGACAGTGAATAAAAGTTAATTAAATGCGTTTGTGATCAAACAGGCCATTTTGTAAAATAATACTAAACACTCTGGGGCTCTGGTGCTAGTAGGTTATGCTGGTAGCTTGAGGGCATGATGTTATTGATACTACTACCTGGAGAGAGGAGACTCTGTGGCAATTAAGAGCTAGAGCCTGGGGCTTCCTTGGTTGGTCTCCAAAGACAGATGGAAAATAAGGGGACTCTCCTATTTCTTCCAATTTCCTGAGATGATTTTTATTTTTAGATGATAACATCCTATTACTGTTTAAGTAAACAAAATCTCAACACTATTTAACTAAAGCAAAGATTAAAAAAAAAAAAGAAAAGATGCAACAATATGTATTCTTGTAGGAATGGGCTATATGTATGAGAGGTGTCAGGGCACAATGTCTTTAATGAAGATGAAACTGATTCAAAGTTAGGAAATAAAGGTTTTTGAATCTTTTTACTTCCAATGTTTATATAATTAGTCATTTATACTCTTGTCATTCTAGAAAAAACATTTTAGCTGTGTAACTTTGGTCAAATAACTTCTTTAATCTTTAGCGTCCTAAGCTGTCTCCTAAGATCACTGTAAGGATTAAAGCGTGTGTTATGTTTCACAGTGCTAAGCATAGTGCCTTGAACATCAACTTGATTGATGATAGCTTTGAAAATCCTTTTATCTAGTAGCAGAGCATTAGATTATTAAAGAAAAAGAGGCATCACAATGCATTTTTCTGCTGATCATATGCAATAATTCTGTGAACTGAACCTACCTTGGAACCCGATTCAATTGGTTCTTTGCACTCCTCACAATAGTTAGAAAAGATACGATCGTAACAAGAAACACAGTATGGATTGTCATCCTTTAGTACATACTTCTTCCCAAGAAGTGATGCCATGCAGTATTGGCAATAAAATCGAGCAGTTGTCATTTTGCCTTAATCCTGTGAATAGAAAAATAATTCACATACATAAAGGCAAAATTTTTGATAAATTATAAAACTTCAATACAGCATGAGTCGAGCACTTGAATGGATTTATATCTTCTTATATGAACACCCACCAGTTTAGGAAATATGCTGTCATCATGGTGACACTTGGAGGGATTTAGGAAAGGCTACTCTCCCATCTTGGCAGTTCCTGTGTATTTTGCTAGCAAAACGCGTCAAGCCAGCAGCCAGAGTGTGAAAAAAAACATCTTGTATTCATCATTCACTAATGTGGAATTCAATGAGAAAGTGATATTTGTTGAAATAGGATGGTTTCACCTCAAGGATATAAATATGAACTGTTGATAGAGCTTTGACTAACTGTCATCACTTACTAGCTTGTTGCAGAGATCTGGAGGTGGAGTTCCATGGAAATAATTTTTTTTTTCTAACTGAAATAGAAATTACTAATCAAATACGTTGCCATTTTCTATGCTATCCTTTTATTTATTTATTTATTTATTTATTATATGCATCCTTTGGGAAGCCCAAAGATTAGGTGGTGCTAGGGTAAAGAACCTGCCTGCCAATGCAGGAGACTCAAGAGATGTGAGTTTGATTTCTGCACGTTAGTTAGTTCTAAGGTCCCTTGAGACATCCTCCTTACCTGTGGCTTCACGCTCCCCAACTACACTGTTGCACCCGCCATTGAGCAACGTCCCATATGTAGACACGCAGTTAAAACCACCAGTGGTAGGAAAGAGATATAGGCTCTTTAAGGTTGTAGGGCTAAACTAACATGTACACAGAAGGAGAAACAGCAGCAGCATTTTATAGAATGAAAAATATAAAGCCAAGGTTAAGAGAAGAATTATAGTTATTTTGTAAATTTAGGAAAACCATTAAACAAAATTCATGGATTTCAAGAGGTTTTGTTCAGTTGTTCAGTGGTGTCTGACTTTTTGCAACCCCATGAACTGCAGCACGCCAGACTTCCCTGTCCTTCACTATCTCTCAGATTTGCTCACACTCATGTCCATTGAGTCAGTGAGGCCATCAAACCATCTCATCCTCTGTCATCCCCTTCTCCTCTTGCCTTCAATCTTTCCCAGCATCAGGGTCTTTTCCAGTGAGTTAGATCTTCACATCAGGTGGCCAAAGAATTGCAGCTTCAGCTTCAGCATCAGTCCCTTCCAATGAATATTCAGGGTTGATTTCCGTTAGGATTGACTAGTTTGATCTCCTTGCTGTCCAAGGGATTTTCAAGAGTCTTCTCCAGCACCACAGTTCAAAGGCATCAATTCTTCGGCACTCAGCCTTTTATTTTTTTATTGTCCAACTCTCACATCCATACATGACTACTGGAGAAACCATAGCTTTGACTACAGACCTTTGTCGGCAAATTATTAGGTCTCTGCTTTTTAATACACTGTCTAGGTTTGTCATTGCTTTTCTTCCAGACAGCAAGCATCTTTTGATTTCATGGCTGCAGTCACTGTCCACAGTGATATTGGAGTCCAAGAAAATAAAGTCTGTCACTGTTTCCATTGTTTCCCCATGAAGTGATGGGACTGGATGCGATGATCTTAGTTTTCTGAATGTTGAGTTTTAAGCCAGTTTTTTCACTCTTCTCTTTCAGCTTCATCAAGAGGCTCTTTTAATTCCTCTTTGTTTTCTGCCAATAGGTGGTGTCATCTTTGTATCTGAGGTTATTGATATTTCTCCCAGCAATCTTGATTCTAGCTTAGTGATTCATCCAGCTCAGCATTTCCCACGATGCACTCTGCGTGTAGGTTAAATAAGCAGGGTGACAATATATGGCCTTGACATGAAAAGTGAAAGTGTTCCACTCCATTGTTCCATGTCTGGTTCTAACTGTTGCTTCTTGACCTGCATATAGGTTTCTCAGGAGACAGGTAGGGTGCTCTGTTATTCCTATCTCTAAGAATTTTCCACAGTTTGTTGTGATCCACACAAAGGCTTTAGCATAGTCAATCAAGCAGAAGTAGATGTTTCTCTGGAATTTTCTTGCTTTTTCTATTATCCAACAGATGTCGGCAATTAATTAGGGATTAAACATGAGGTTTTTGTTGTCACCAAAAGCAGTACCACTGATTTTCTTGGAAAATAAATATATTATGAACTACAGATATTTTCTAATTCTCCATCTCAGAAATTTGTTTCTTTTTTTTTTTTTTCAATTTTAGCAAAATGAGAAAATCCACTATTGTGATGTTTTTTTATAGGATTTTTAGTGCTAGTTTTAATTTACTATATTTAAATTGCATTCCCACATAGTTTGCCTTCTTTTATTTTAATGGTAACATTTTCAGCTGAGTGTCTTGCTAAATATACACTGTCATTAATTCTGTATATAGTAGATCTTCAGTAACAGAGAAAAGACAGGATTTGGAACATGTGTGTCTTTTCTAAGGAAGGACGAAAATTCAGACTAGAAGTTCTCAATGGAACATGCCAAAATTATCTGCGAAGAATATTGAATCCCCTATTTGCTTAATTCCACAGAAATGTCCCTTTTTAGCAAATACAACACACAGTAGAAGGATTGCTGAGGGCTTGGAAACAGGAGGAAAATAAATGTGAGTCCCTTGAAAGGTTTTAAAGCTCAAATTTTGTTCATGGTTACAGTGATCAAGTGTTTTATAATAAAATATATACTTTTAACTTTCATCACTTCATATGGAAAATGCATTTTCATTAGTCATGTATTCTTTAGTCTTAGATGTGTATAATAGCACCATGAATAGCCTTTCAGGACTTAGAAACTCCCAGGCTACTTCCATTTTGTGAGGCTTTTAGTATATTATAAAATGAAGAAACAACCAAAGGGATCACAAAATTGGCAGATTTTCAAGTTTTTATTTTAAACTACACTTTAAATACAATAATACTTGTACCTCATTTGGTCATCAGTTGTCTAAATATAAAATGTAAATCTCTAAATATTTTATAAATATTGACATAGAAGTATATATCAATGAATATAAATACTTATCTAAATGTAAGTACAGGAAGATATGGTTCTGCCCCATCTCCATTATAATTACATAACAGGTCTTGCTCCATAAAAATTCTTAACAAAATGGACCATATTTTCTCCAGTTTCTTTTAAAAGAGAAAGTATATCTTATTCTACCTGTTTTTTAAAGAACATGTCAAGAAGCTGGGGAGGGTGAAAGAGTCAGTCCAATATCTCAAAACTGTATAATTTTGCATTTTATAGAACGATACAGTGGGAGTAGGCATTTGGTCCAGGTCAATGTGTATTGAACTATCTACTCAGTAATAGCTGAACTCTCTGCCCTCAAGAAGTCTGTATCCTCTTAGCTCTTACCTTGGTAATAATGAATATAATTTGAGATAGAACAAACTGAATGTTCACTCTCTTATTCTTGGTTGGGAAAAGTACACTAAGAAATTCAGCCCTCATTTTCATGAAGTCTGTCATTTAATTATGGGTATAGGAATACATCCACCTAGAGTTTTCTTAAACAGGAGTGTTATAGCCATAGAGAATATGATACACATTCCACCAGAACCATAGAATTCTTAGTGACTTAGAAAGGAGTGAGGAGCTACAGCATAGGAAGACCTTCTTAGGAAGATTTTAAAGAAGTTAAGCTTTTGAAAATCTGTTAGGAAGGAAGGAAGAGAACAAGGATCTTGATTAGCAGGGAAGGAAGGAGAAAAGACAATGAGAGAAGGCATGGGATTACATCCAAAGTTGGGGAATGGTAAGGCTTGCCAACAGATTTTCACCCAGGTATATTCAGGATAAAAGACCTTCCAACTATTTAAACATATTTGAACCTTTAATACAAACAGTTCTAAATGGGGTCAGGGGTAGGCAAACATGCAAGAGTATGAATTTTTCCAATTGGGTCACATTTTACCGCCTTATTCTTTCTTGAATATAATTCTGTACTTTTTTTTTTTTTTGCCTTTTTTCCCTCTTTATCCCTTTTATTAATATTTCTGAATAATCAGGGAATAATTTGTACCCACAGGTCAGTTCAGTTCAGTCGCTCAGTCGTGTCTGACTCTGCAACCCCATGATCCACAGCATGCCAGGCCTCCCTGTCCATCACCAACTCCCAGAGTCCACCCAAACCCATGTCCATTGAGTCAGTAATGCCATCCAACCATCTCATTCTCTGTCATCCCCCTCTCCTCCTGCCCTCAATCTTTCTCAGCATCAAGATCTTTTCAAATGAGCCAGCTCTTCGCATCAGGTGGCCAAAGTATTGGAGTTCAGCTTCAATATCAGTCCTTCCAATGAACACCCAGGACTGATCTCCTTTAGGATGGACTGGTTGGATCTCCTTGCAGTCCAAGGGACTCTCAAGAGTCTTCTCCAACACCACAGTTCAAAAGCATCAATTCTTCTGCACTCAGCTTTCTTTATAGTCCAACTCTCACATCCATACATGACCACTGGAAAAACCATAGCCTTGACTAGATGGAACTTTGCTGACAAAGTAATGTCTATGCTTTTTAATATGCTATCAAGGTTTGTCATAACCCACAAGAACAGACCAAATGACTTGTTTTCAATCATTTTCTAACAGGTAAAACTGTAGGAAAGGGGATAGGGACCATGTGATTCTTATCTCAGGAGCCCCCATCTGAGGGTTAATTTGGCAAAGATATTTAAAAATGTTTGCTTCCAAATATTTAAAATCCTTGAACAGAGCTGATTTATGAGTCATAGGAAATCTTAATATTAACAGTAGATCCCAATTGGATAGCATTTTACTTTTCTAGGCATGAACTTAGAAATGTTAGTATCAATATCAATTAGACATTCATGTTGAGCTTTTCAATGGGATAAGATTAGATATATTCTTGTCAAACTTCTTTCAAAGTCATTCTGCAGTTACACAACAGTTTAAGTACAGAATTTTTATCACTGTATACTGAGGTTTTAGAATATTGATTTAGAGGTACACTGATACATCTAAGAACCTGTGAAGATAAGATAA